TATATATATATATATATATATATATATATATATATATATATACATACATGTGTGTATGTGTGTGCCAGTATATATTTCGGTACACGTATATTGCTACTTATATATTCCTTTCTGCTGTATATACTTTGCTTTATATAATCAATAATAATTAATATATATATATATATATATATATATATATATATATATATAACTAAGTCATCAGTGCAGCAACGACCAATGCAAAATAAAATTACGAAATATATGCAATATGTTTGTCTATTCGGATTTGCCTTGGTAGATTTGATGGTACAAACATATTGCATTAGTAATTAATATCAGAGAGCTCTCAAAAATTGACTGGGTAGCTTAATAGCGACATTTAATGCGGTCGCCCGAAGAAGCAGTTGTCCAGGTCCATTTTTTTTCATAACCCATGAAAGATGCAGACATGACGTCAGCGAGTCAAGTCTTTTGTAAAACGTTCGAAAATATTTTTCTTTAATAAAATGATGTCGTCACTAAGTTGATTTAGAAAGGAGCTAAGCAACGTACCACAATATGATTTATAAAAGAATATTATTTTTTAAATCGGTATTTGAAATTTTCACGAGAGAGATGATAGGCAATACCCTGTTCCGACAATACACGATGGAACACTAGACTCTTTTTTTGTTTCGTTACGTGTTATGTGTGTTAAAGACATGATCTTGCCGTTGTTATCCGAGCTATGGAGAGAGGCGTAAATAGCGCAGTGTAAGATAAATATCTAAACGAAACAGTATATACTCGAGGGCCTGGATAGATCAGTGTGTAGATCGATGATCTAGATCGACAATCCGGCAAGCGACAGTTCCGGGTTCGAGTCCCGGTCTAGCAAATTGGCGAAAGCTCTTTTTCCGTCCATTAGAAACTTGGTCTTCCATTTGCATATACTTTTTCACCTTTCTTACAATTGCGCCAAGTATATGTATATGTGTCTATTCATATATATATATATAACTGTGTGTTGTGCCGAGGTATATATTTCGGCACATGTATATTTCTGTTTATTAAATTCCGTTCAGCTGTTATTACACTGCTTTGTATTAGGACATAATATTATATCACTGTGGGAAAGGTAGAGCGAACACCAATCTAAAATTAGCCAATAGTTAGAAACAATATGCTCTTGTCGTTTCGTATCTACTTTGTAGGTCTGATCGACTTGGTAGGCATATTGTGTAAGTAATTAATCTTTGAGAGCTTTCAAAAATTGACTAGGTAGCTTAATAGTGACATTTAAAGCGGTCGCCCGAAGAAGTAATTGTCCAGGTTCCTTTTTTTTTCCCACGAAAGATGCAGACACGACGTCAGCGAGTCAAGTCTTTTATAAAACGTTCAAAAATATTTTTCTTTAATAAAATGGCGTCGTTAATAAATTGATTTAGAAAGAAGCTAAGCAACATACTACAGTATGATTTATTAAAGAATATTATTTTTTAAATCGGTATTTGAAATTTTCACGAGAGAGACGATAGGCAATATCGTGTTTCGACAATACACGATGGAACACTAGACTCTTTTTTTGTTTCGAGTGTTACGTGCGTTACAGACATGATCTTGCCGTTGTTATCCGAGCTATGGAGAGAGGCGTAAATAGCGCAGTGTAAGATAAATATCTAAACGAAACAGTATATACTCGAGGGCCTGGATAGATCAGTGTGTAGATCGATGATCTAGATCGACAATCCGGCAAGCGACAGTTCCGGGTTCGAGTCCCGGTCTAGTAAATTGGCGAAAGCTCTTTTTCCGTCCATTAGAAACTTAGTCTTCCATTTGCAAATAATTTTTCACCTTTCTTACAAATGCGGACAAGTATGTGTATATGTGTCTATACATATATATATATAACTGTGTGTGTGCCGAGGTATATATTTCGGCACATGTATATTTCTGTTTATTAAATTCCGTTCTGCTGTAATTATATTGCTTTGTATATTAGGACATAATTAATTTAAATTACTGGCTACAAATACTGCCTTTTTAGAAATAGTTAGAAACAATATGCTCTTGTCGTTTCGCATCTACTTGGTAGGTCTGATCGACTTGGAAGGCATATTGTGTAAGTAATTAATCCTAGAGAGTTTTCAAAAATTGACTAGGTAGCTTAATAGTGACATTTAAAGCGGTCGCCCGAAGAAGTAATTGTTCAGGTTCATTTTTTTTTCCCACGAAAGATGCAGACATGACGTCAGCGAGTCAAGTCTTTTGTAAAACGTTTGAAAATATTTTTTTTTAATAAAATGGCGTCGTCACTAAATTGGTTTAGAAAAGAGCTAAACAACATACTACAGTATGATTTATTAAATCGGTATTTGAAATTTTCACGAGAGAGATGATAGGCAATATCGTGTTTCGACAATACACGATCGGACACTAGACTCTTTTTTTGTTTCGAGTGTTACGTGTGTTACAGACATGATCTTGCCGTTGTTATCCGAGCTATAGAGAGAGGCGTAAATAGCGCAGTGTAAGATAAATATCTAAACGAAACAGTATTTATTCGAGGGCCTGGATAGATCAGTGTGTAGATCGATGATCTAGATCGACAATCCGGCAAGCGACAGTTCCGGGTTCGAGTCCCGGTCTAGTAAATTGGCGAAAGCTCTTTTTCCGTCCATTAGAAACTTAGTCTTCCATTTGCAAATAATTTTTCACCTTTCTTACAAATGCGGACAAGTATGTGTATATGTGTCTATACATATATATATATAACTGTGTGTGTGCCGAGGTATATATTTCGGCACATGTATATTTCTGTTTATTAAATTCCGTTCTGCTGTAATTATATTGCTTTGTATATTAGGACATAATTAATTTAAATTACTGGCTACAAATACTGCCTTTTTAGAAATAGTTAGAAACAATATGCTCTTGTCGTTTCGCATCTACTTGGTAGGTCTGTGATCGACTTGGAAGGCATATTGTGTAAGTAATTAATCCTAGAGAGCTTTCAAAAATTGACTAGGTAGCTTAATAGTGACATTTAAAGCGGTCGCCCGAAGAAGTAATTGTTCAGGTTCATTTTTTTTTCCCACGAAAGATGCAGACATGACGTCAGCGAGTCAAGTCTTTTGTAAAACGTTTGAAAATATTTTTTTTTAATAAAATGGCGTCGTCACTAAATTGATTTAGAAAGGAGCTAAGCAACATACTACAGTATGATTTATTAAAGAATATTATTTTTTAAATCGGTATTTGAAATGTGACGTCCCATCGCGTCGTCACGTATAGAATTAGTTTTTATTTCTCCTTATTTTGGGTCAATGCATTAAAGCATTTTCCCGGGGATCGGAGATCAAGTTGTGCACTACTTCTAGTTCACCAGTTGACGGGTGAAAGGACTGGGTAGGATCATCGGTGTTCTACTCGGAATAATTCGCGTATTTTATAGGTGAGTCGACGAGGATCACCCTTAGGGATGGACTTGTAGTCGGGAAATGAATAGGTATATTCTGCCTTATGTAGAATATAGGTTGCTAGATGAAGGATTAGGTTGAGGAGATTGATCTAATAGTTTTGCTAATTCTTTAAATAATGAAAACGGGTCTTGGTTTGAAAAAAAGCGACCTTGATCTGATATCTAAGTCTCTTAATTCGCTGTCGTCGCCCACCTTTCGAAGGCATATAGAATTAAATAAATTTCGTTGAGGAATAATTACGAGGAACGGGGCCACACTATTGGCAGCGACAATCGAGATAGAACGGGGCCACGCTATTGGCAGCGACAACTATAATTACTCCTCGTGAATAATTTTCATGCGAGATTTTATCTAAAGCGGAAAAGAGACTTAGTTTCAATCTAAAAGAAGTAACGTATAACAATTTATTTCTAAGTGTTAAGGTAATTGAATTAATACATTGAGATACTATAGGATAGAACAAGTGCAATTATAGGTCTGGAATTGAAAAGGGAAAACCGAGGTGGACTAACCGTTTAGTTCGGTGTCGTCTCCGACCGACTGACTATTCTGACGTACTGTCTGACTGACTGTCTCTTCTGACTAAAAATTCCGTCGCTGGCCCTTGGTGTACCCTTCTTATACCCAATTCCTAGTAGGAGAGTCTTTTTTAACATCCAATCAGAATCCGTAGGATCTATTATCGCATTTGTTTATATATTTATTTGGAGATAGTAGAGCTCCGCGTCAGCCGTACTCTCTCCTACGTTTAAACCTAAAATTTGTGACTTAAATTTCTAGATTTATCTAATTATATATAGATCGAAATGAAATTTCAATAAATCCCTTTTAATTATTTTGTTATGTGGAACTTATCCTCTGTGTTTTTGAATTGTTCTTTTATCTTAATTATTTCTTATAGTATATATTTTGTAGTATATAAATATGTAACA